ACAAAACGACTACAATTTAAGGTTTTTTTTTCCTTCTCCTTTGGGAAACTGAAAGGTTTTTGCATAACAAGGTGCACTTTTATCTCATCTCATGCCTTCTTCTTGCAGCTCGTACTTCTTTTTTCATGCACACATCACATGGTAAGGCCAGGTTTCTGAAGCCCTCTCGAAGTGTATACCTAATTCAATATCCAACAAGTTATAAACAAACAAAGAAACAAACAAACAAATAAATAAAAACCTGTGTGAGGTTACAGTCATTTACATAAAGAAAATCTGTTTAGATTTGATGGACTTTAAACAAAATGATAAAATATAATTGTTGCCCTGTGGCAACAGCATGTAACAGTGCGCCTGCAATCTGAAATCAATGGGAGTAAATGAGTACACTGTCAATGGACATTTTCATGTCCACTTTCATTATCTTTTTTTTTACATTCCAATTTAATCATGTGTGGATGATGAATATGTCCTGTACCAGTGTAATAGTTTCCATTGTGTGAATTGTGGATTGCAGTTCCATTGTTGCATGTGGATCACTCTCCACATATATGTGAGAGGCCAGCTGCTGAGAACTTTCTATGAGTTTGTGAAGTCAAGTGCCATTTTTATGCTGTTGTGTACTGGGGCAGCAGTATTACAGTGAAGGGCACTGACAGACTGAACGAGATCATTAGAAAGGCCAGCTAAGTCCTGGGGGCTAAATGGGGCACAGTGGAGATGGTGGCGGAGAGGAGGATGCTGCACCTCAGGAAGATGCTGCTGAGGATGCTGATCATGTAGAACCCCTCCCACCCACTCCACAAAACACTACGGGGAAGAGGAGCACGATGAGCAGCAGACTGCTCCAGCCTCGCTGCAGGGAGGAGCACTTCTGCAGGTCATTCCTCCCTGCAGCCATCAAGCTATACGACTGTGCACTGTAATTCATCTTTTCCTCATGCATCATTGTACATCTGTGTATCATCTGCACTGCACTTTATTACTGCTTACTCTGCACTGGCCATGCTCTTGTGCACAATGCTGTATTTTACAGCAGTACTGCACTGGGTACTTTATTTATTACTGTGGAAATATTACTGCAGTTGTAAACTACCCCATCAGTGGATTACTGTTATAACACTGTAACACTAACTGTAACAGTAACTGAAACTCCAATACTTGATATATCGGAGTGTAACACACAAAAAATACCGTATTTTTTTGCGCCTTAGCAGAGGCCTTAACAGACCACTACATGTATATATCGCTGCTGTCAGAACAAATCTTGTATTGTCATTTTTGTTGTTTTTCAGTTTTTGACATAATTTGAAAGTACCTGTTGTCCTTTACATTGTGTATAAATTTAATGATAAATGGACCAACAAAAATGACCTAGAATTAGCAGAAAAAAAGTCTGGTTCCATTGACTTACATTATATATATACATATATATACACACTAGACTATGACCAATATAAAGCAGTAGCAGATGAGCTATCATCTCTGACTTTACATCTACAAGGTGGACTGATAAGGTAGCAGTGACTAATAGAGTGGACAGTGAGTGGACACAGTGGTTAAAAACTCCAGCAGCACTGCTGTGTCTGATCCACTCAGACCAGCACGACACACACCACCACTACGTCAGTGTTATTGCAGTGCTGAGAATGATACACCACCCAAATAGTACCTGCTCTGTGAGGGACCATGGGGGTCCTGACCACTGAAGAACAGGGTAAAAGGGGGCTAACAAAGTATGCAGAGAAACAGATGGACTACAGTCTGTAACTGTAGAACTACAAAGTGCACCTATATAGTAAGTGGAGCTGATAAAATGGACGAGTGTAGAAACAAGGAGGTGGTCATAATGTTATGCCTGATCGGTGTGTGTATATATATTTATATATATACACGTATATATATGTTTTGGCAACATATGCTGCCATCCAGATGACGTCTTTTTCAGGGAAGGCCTTGCTTATGTCAGCAAGACAATGTCAAACCACATTCTGCATCTATTACAACAGCATGGCTCCGTATTAAAAGAGTCTGGGTGCTAAACTGGCCTGTCTACAGTCCAGACTTGTCACCACTGAGAACATTTGGCACATTATGAAATTAAAAATATGACAAAGGAGACCCTGTTGAGCAGCTGAAATCCTATATCAACAAGAAAGGGAAAACATATCACTTTCAAAACTACAGCAGTTGGTCTCCTCACTTCCTAAACGCTTACAGAGTGTTGTTAAAAGTAGAGGTGATGAAACACAGTGGTCATGAATTTCTCAGTTTCAACATTTGATATGTTGTCTTTGTAGTATTTTCCTTTAAAATATGGTTTATTTGCATATCATTGCTTTCTATTTTTATTTACATTTTGCACAGTGTCACAACTTTTTTGGAAATGGGGTTTTGGATATATATATAATATTAACATAATTGATGCCTTTTTCAATAATAAAATTAACATTTATTATATATATTATTTATCATAAGAACATTATTTTCGTGTGTATTTCATAATCTATGCAGTAGATGGTTAAATCAGTCGAACTGATTATCAAATTAATATTTCTATCACTTTGACGCTGAACTGTAGAAACTCAGTAAAAAATAGTTTTTCTCTGTTAGCCATGACGTCGAGCAGCACACTAACAGAGGAAAAACTAACAACAGCTCCTTTTTTCATAAACGAATCGACTCTACGGTCAGTTTGTTGGTTACTACGTGTCTCAGTGTGGTGATGAACTACAGTGTGGTCCATACAGGTGGTCGTGTTGAGCGCTGAGCTGGTCTGGACTGACGGAGAGACTTTAGGCACTGTGTTTGGCTCCATCTGCTGAGCTGTTGTTAGCATGCTCGGCTCTGAGTGGAGGAGCAGCACGGAGTCGCCGCCAACAACCTGAAGAGAAGAGGACAAAAACTGAGTTTAGAGCAGCAAACTAACCAAGCATATTAAAACGGGCAAAACACTGGAAACAGACGAATATTAAGCGGTAATATTCGCTCATGTACTCTCATTTTCTCCTGATAGCTTTACTGAGGGACTGACTGCTATTTTTACACTCCAAGGTAAGAGCCGGCGTTTATCATTCTCCTTCGTACACGAGCCTAAAGTCAGCTTTATTCGCCTCAGGCGCCACAGTGTAGCACCATTTAAGGTGGAACGGGACAGTTCGAACAGGAATAGGAAGCTGACTTCAGCTTCGTTTTATCTTTTTTTTTAACACGAGTTTTTTGGTTGTTTATCATTTTTAGAGCATTTTTAGGCTGTATTTCACACAGGCTGTGTTGAGTTCTGTCTTTGTAGTAATGTGTAACGTTAGTTGTCTAAAGGTGGTGTATTAAAGTTGAAAATAATGAAACAAGTACATAGAAATAACATTATTAATAGAAATTTGCACTTTGCATTTTTTTGCTTGGGATAAAGACATTATTCAAACTAAAAATTCAAATGTATACAGTTTTTGGCCACTTCTTTGGGTGAAAAACCAGCCACAACAGACATTTAGTACATTATTTTTAATGCTCATATCATGGACAGTGAAGTTTCCCAGAGGACAAAAAATCTTTGCTAAGATTTTGTAATAAATCAGATCTCAGTGTTGTATTAATGAAGGATCACTGATTTCTGAATTATTTATCCTAAAACCCCGTTAAGGAGAAAAGAGGAGATTAACATCAGCATTTCATTATCAGAAGTTCTGGAGATGAATGAGAGAAGTATGAGTTCTACACTGATGTGTGAGTCCAGTGATACAGAGCTATATAAGAAAATAACGAGGTCTTACACCTTTCTTATGGAAGTATTATTAAGCTAAGACTGGGCTGAGATGAGTCAGACACAGAACAGTTAATCCGTATGTGTAATATTCTGATCAAAGTGAGAAAATCTGAGGGTTTTTTCTCAGCAGACAAATTTCTGAAAGAGGAGAAAATGGTCTCACTCTGATTTCACACTGGACTTAACCATGTCTAGGAGAGGTACATGAGATTAAGAGGAGATCTCATTTAGAATATTTCTGTTCTCTGGGTTTATAATATAACTCACTCCATCTGTTGAGCACTTCAGGGAGAACTTGCCTGGACAAATTTACAAAGGTTTGTACTGATTTACATTGCACAGTGTGTGATTTTACAACAATGTGCTGTAACCCTCCAGCATGATTTGTTATGAAGCTTAATGATGGTGGGCATATGTAACCTCCTTTAAATTCATAGACTGAGCTCTTGATGCAGAGGTGAACAATAACCTGAATTAATATAGTCATATTTTGATGCCCATAAATTTGATTACACTGTAATTATATGTAAATGTAGGTACAGTGGTCATATACAACGATCAGCCATAACATTAAAACCACCTCCTTGTTTGTACAATCACTGTCCATTTTATCAGCTCCGCTTGCCAAATAGGTGCACTTTGTAGTTCTACAGTTACAGACTGTAGTCCATCTGTTTCTCTAGATACTTTGTTAACCCCATTTTACCCTGTTCTTCAATGGTCAGGACCCCCATGGACCCTCACAGAGCAGGTACTATTTGGGTAGTTGGAGTTTTTAAACACTCACTGTCCACTCCATTAGACGTTCCTACCTTGTTGGTCCACCTTGTAGATGTAAAGTCAGAGACAGTAGCTCATCTGTTGCTACACAGTTTGTGTTGGTCATCCTCTAGTCCTTCATTAGTGGTCATGGTATGCTATTGGCTGGATGTTTGTGGTTGGTGGACTGCTGTAGTTTTTACAGCAGCGTCGACGTGACTGACCATCTCCTACCAGCGCAACGCACGCTAACACACCACAGAAGTATCACTGCAGTGCTGAGAATGAGTCACCATCCAAATAATACCTGCTCTGAGGTGGTCCTTTGGGGGTCCTGACCATTGAAGAACAGGGTAAAAGCGGGTGAAGAGAAACAGATGGACTACAGTCTGTAATTGTAGAACTACAAAGTGCACCTATGTGGTAAGTGGAGCTGATAAAATGGACTGTAGTGTAGAAACAAGGTTTTAATGTTATGGCTGGTGTAGATATGAACAGAGTAAAAAAACATGTAATTTCTGCCACTGTCACTGTTAAGACATCTTAGACAATATCAGAATTGTTGTAATTGTACACTCAGCACTGAAGCATTTGCAAAAGTGGAATAGAAATTCACAGCAGTGGTAGCTTTTATCCGTATTCTAGTCCTGCTTCAGCTGCTTAACTTTCTATTGACTGTTGCCTTGTTTGCATCCTGACTTCATGATTCATCAAGTTGATAGAGCTTTTCCTCCAATTATAAGGAATGTGGCATAGCATTGTAATTATGCCTCTGATTACATGCAGCCTGGTATTCTCATGCTCAGGGGACCATTATGAACAGTGTGATCTACAAAATATTCATAATAGCATCAAAACCATTAGTCTATCAGCCACATTTAAAGGGGAACTTCAACATTTCTGCATAATTAAATCATTAAGATGTAAACACAGTCTTTTAGAGTGGTTTGATGTGAAATCCTCTGTTGTAGAGAAGTTGAATTGTTCACAGTGGTTGTGATAGGAACCAGACATCTGAAGAGTTTAATGCCTCTAAAAGCTCCCTCACACAAAGTTTTTACCTGAAATGGTTATATATCGCTGCTGTTGGAACAAAACCTCTCCATCTCCAAAATGATAACTTTACAGGAGAAGGAAACATACTTTACTTTTAAAGTGAATGGAACCAGACTTTTTTCCAGGTCATTTTGGGCCATTTCATTTTGTGCATTTGTCATGAAAGTTCCACACAATGCAAAAAAGGGCAACAGGCATTTTCAAAACCTTCCAAAGGCATGTCAAAAACTGAAAAATGAGAAATGACAAATGACAAAAAATGGAGATACAAGGTTTTATTCCCACAGCAGCGATATGTTGCCTGATGCCTGAAACATTGTTTTACGGTAGTTTTGCAATAATGCAGATCATTATAAGGCAAAATAGGACCCGGAAACTTCTTTTTTCAGATTTACCACTTTATTACAATTACCAAAACTCATAAGTTCACTGTTTTTTAGGCTAGTAAATAGAATGGCTATATTTGCGTTGTAGACGCTCTGGTTCCTATCAAGAGTCAGTATGTTTCTCTACAATTAACTATTTCTCATCAAAACATTTTGAATTACATTTGAGCCATGGAATTATGCAGAAATAAAAAAATAAAAATCGCACAGTTCCCCTTCAAGATGATGCATAATGAGTTACATTAGTATTTGGATGGGCTAAACTAATTTTGCATGCCAGAGAGAAATTATAACGCACTGTAGGAGTGTCGCTGAGTGCCTTAGAGCTCGCTCTTTGTCCCTCGCTCTCTTTCTCTGTTTCTGTCCTCTGTTTCTTTCTGTCACTCTCTCTTTTTTTTGTGCCCGCTTGCCCTCAGGTTTGCCGGACGTGCCCATGGAGGGTCAATTTGAGAGAGTCAAAGTTGGTACGGACAGAGAATCCTGGGAACTGTCCACGTTGTACATAATGTCAGCCTATGACGTCAACATCACCAACTGCACCAACTCGACTCCAGTGGAGGAGATCTTATACTCTCCGTATTACCAGCACTCGCTGGGCATGGCGGCAGTGTTCATCCTGGCCTACCTCTTCATCTTCCTGCTCTGCATGATAGGAAACGGCGTGGTGTGTCTGATAGTCCTGAAGAACCGGCGCATGTGGACGGTCACTAACGTCTTCATCCTCAACCTTTCCATTAGCGATCTGCTCGTGGGCATCTTCTGCATTCCCACAACCTTAGTGGACAACCTTATCACAGGCAAGTGGCACTGTCTGAACACAAAATCAGGCCTGAAGGTTTGAAGCAAAAGAATAAAGGGTCTTAAAAATAAAGTGTTCTTTGGAGTGATGCCACTTTGGTGATTTCCTTGCTCAAACAGACGTGATTCGACTCTTCTGTTAATTGATACTTTTAGTGGGTGTTTTTTTGAGTAGGCCAGTTACTAAACTGTACTAGACACCAGACAATCAGTAGTATTACGATACTTCAGTAAGTTGTTTTTGTCGTGATTTTTTTTTCACAATACACGATATGTCACAACATTTATTTTTTATGAAATCAGGTGTCTAAGGCTGTAACAGACAAAGTAGTGCCACAAAACTATGAATACAATGATTTGTATACAACACACAATGTGCTGCACGAAATGCAGTTAAACAGGACCAATTATGCTCTCACTGTAATCTAACTTCTCATATTGCCCGGTACTAGTATGGGGTGCAAACTTGGTGGTTAATATCTTACTCGAGTAATGCTGCTGCTATACCAATAGGTATATATATATATATATATATAGGTATAATAGTCTTTGGGCTAAGATTTTTTTGTAAGGGTTTTTTCATAAAGGCAGTGGTTCTGCCATGAGTTCAATATAGAATCATTTCATGCTTAAATAGTTCTTTGCATGGTGGAATAGTTCTTTAGATTGATTGAGAATGTGTTGTATATGTTCTATTGTCTATGTAGAACCTTTTTAGAAAATCGTTCTGTGTAGCACAAAAGAGTTTTTCTATTGTTACAAGCTTGACATTGTAACAATAGAACACTTTAGCACTATATAGAACCATTTCCAAAAAGGCTCTATATAGAACTATATACAACACATTTTCTATTAATCTGCTGAACCATTTCACCATGCAGAGAACAGTGTAAGCATGAAATGGTTCTATATAGAACTTGGTTCTATATAGTTCTATATAGGTTCTATATAATATATTGGTTCTATATAGTATCTATATAATATAATGGTTCTATATAGGTTCTATATAGAATCATTGCCTTTACTAAAGAACCCTTGAAGAACCATCTTTTTTAAGAGTGTATATATGAAAATTTTGTGACTGACATGATATTGATTTAAATTTACATTTTATAATTTCATACGCCAATACTGGCTGACATTATTGTCATTTGTCAATTTTGTATTGAGAAATATGTCTATTAATTGGTCACATTTCTTAAACACCAATACACAGCAATATTGCTGGTTTTCTGTGTGAGATAAACAAATGGCATTTTCAAAAATGAATATTTCCTTCAAATGTCTCTGGATCCTCTGAATTATGAGGTTGTAAAATCTGCAGCATGTAAGATTTGGGGATCTGGAGACCTCTCTGGTGAAAATGTGTAACACAACATGCGTAAGAACATTTTGTAATGTCAATTGTGCTTCGGAGCCCCTCAGTAATGCTACTTCTTTCCATTTAATTTTTTTTTAAAGTGAAAATGAGCATAAATAACCTTTTTAAAGATTAAAGATCATCCTCAAAATGTGGACCACCACAAGGGGTTAATTATCGGTTGTAGTTATCAGCCCAGAAATTCCATCCGTAAAAGTTAGTAATATTTGCTATATTTTTCTACTTTTTTTACACCATTGGGGTTGTTTTAGATCAGGGGACCTCAGTCCTGCTCCTGAAGATCTACAGCCCTACAGAGGTTCTATCCAAAACTAATGCAACCTGGTCTAACTCATCAAGATCTTCTGAGGAATCTGAATATTAGAGCTGGTTGTGTGAAGACTGGAGTTGGAATGGGACTCTGCAGGATAGCAGTTTTCTGCAAGTGGGTTTTAGAAGCTGAAGAAAATAACCGAGCAGATTATTACATTTCATAAAAATCCTTATTTTAACTCAACTAGATGTATATTGTCAAAGTGCGAGTCTTCCTCCATGATATTACCCCACAGAAATATTCTCTCTCTCTTGACAAAATCATTTTTCACTTTCTGTGTGAGTGTGGGAGGCAGTGATATTTGCAATGAATATCCAAGCACTAGACACATTTAACACAATAATCAATGATCTACATAGTGCCATTATTCATAGTGATAAATCCTGTATTATGTTGGAAGTCTACATCTGTTACATGAGGCAGACATTTCAGTCGCAGTATTTTAGCCTCTCTGTAATAATGCTCTATATTACTGAGATAATATCAATTTGTTCTCTCAAAAATAATGCATATCAGTGCTGTCAGGTGTAGTGGAAGAGTAATGGTGCTCATCATTCCTCTTTTATATGCAGACATTGAAGTAACTTCGCTGAAATGATGTTACACAACCCTGCAGATTGCAAAGGCAGAGGTAATTGGTGGAGCATAATTATTGTCCATTTCTAATGAACTCCTAATGTTTCTGTCAATACACAGGTTGGCCCTTCAGTAATATGATATGCAAACTGAGTGGCCTGGTGCAAGGAATGTCTGTCTGCGCCTCAGTCTTTACGCTCGTTGCCATCGCAGTGGACAGGTAAGTGTTTGCCCCTCTTTTATTCCTACAGTGGAATTTTGACAAACGTCAGATCTTTTCAGGTGCAAACCAACTCAGAGGCTTGATTGGCCCTGTAATTTTCAGCACTTGGCACTAATAGCTCCTAATAGGTCAGTGCTTGATCTGTATGCCACTTACCACAGTGGCATAATTGCGCAGGTGGAAGGAAGTACTAAAATCGTTTTTATGAAAAAATATGGACAGTTTGATAGTTCGATGCAGGGTCTTTCCAGTAAAAGTCCAAAAATTCTCCCCAAAAGTAAAAGGAGAAAATAATCACTTATTAAATTGACAAAAAGGAAATGGGTAGCAACCAGAGATGGATGAAAATGATAGATTGTCTCATTGTTAAATGCAAAGAGCATGAATAATGACCGAACTGGAAAATTCACACTCAATATGTCCAGTGCTGTGCTAAAGCAACGTTCAGAGAAATTTTATTCACCAGTACAGGACATACAGGCCATTATTTTATGCGTCTGTACTCCATCTTCCATCAAAAGGTGCAGTCGGACCCCAGCTGTGATCCATGTTTATATTTGCAAAATCTTGACGAAATGATATGCTGATTTTTTTTCAGTGTTTTTGCAAAAAGGGGGTGACTGTATTGGTTATGTATTCAAATTTATATCACAAATATATTTCAGTCCCTGTTTTTATGATTCACATGCAAATGGCACATAATGGATTTACAGGCAACCCAGCCCACTATTTCAAAGAGACTTCTATATAGAGAATCCATTACAACCCGTACATCAGTGTTTCAGAAACAGTAGTGCTTATAGCAAACGTCCCCTCACTCTTTACTTTATTTTTTAGAATAATTTGAATACTTAAGTATTCATATGTCAGGATGGTATTTGATTCTTTATTTAGTATTTGAAAGCCTTGTCTTTTTCAAACCACAAAAATCACCTTAACTACAATACATTTCATCAACAGAGACCTTTAGGTTGAACAGTTATTGTTAATATATCATTGTTGTCCAGCAAAAAAGGATATATCTCCATTTTGTCCAATTTTATGTTTCTATATCGTTTGAACATGGCAGTTGTCCTTTACATTACGTAAAAATTTAATGATGAGTTGCTGAATGCTCCAGAATCACTTCAAATAAAATCTCTTTACCATAACTTACATTAAAAGTTAAGAATGTTTTTGCCATCTTCTGTAAGGCTTTCTTTAGCTTTACCGTTTCGTTCTGTAATTTTCCACTGGTCTTTTACGCTGAGGTGGACGTGGGACAAAACACAATGATACCGTGTAAGTTGTTCTAATCTCAAATAAAAGAACGTAAGAAAGTGTAGTAAAACTAGTAAATGTTGTTGTTGCAGTATATTACACTCTTTAATTTGGCCACAAACCTGTAATTATTCTAGTAAGAAAGAACAGAATTGCGAATAACTTCACCGTCTGAAAGTTTGAGGATGAGGATGAGCTCCGCCCCCTGCTGGGGGAGTTCGACCCAAGAAACTTAGACAAGTCAAGGTTCTGGTCCAAAGCTCAGCTTTACTGTTCCAAGGGAGTTCTAGGCTCAGCCCTGTGCAGCTTGCTACGCTTGACAAGCCCCAGCCAAAAAAAAAAAAAGGAGTAGTTTGTTTACACTATTACCAAAAACGTGAACACAGTGCATGATTTTTAACCATCAATGAATAAATGTCAAACCATCTATCTAACAATTACTACATGTAAAACAGTGCTGCTACCTAGGAGAGAAGAGCTAGTTAGCATTAGATTAGCTAGCATGATAACAACTCTGCCTACCACAGAACATGTTTGATTCTGGCTATAAAGCACAAAAATGGTTTAAAAATAAGGATTAAACTGAATTAAATTGATCCTGTTGTATGGTATTTGGGAATGAGCTTAGCGGGCCAAATGTGTTAGTTGTAGCTAACTCGTGCTAAAATGACACCTGTTTAAATGAAAGTGCAAAATCGTGTGATTTTTGTGGCTGAGCTACTCTCATGCTTAGTTTTTCTGTTTTTTTCTGGATCTGATTCCCCCCCCTTCCTTTCAGTGCCACCTATCGGTGGGCTCCCACTCCGCCGATCTGTGAGCCCCTCTAACATATAAATGGGTGGAATGTGTTTATTTTTACGTTCAGTTGTGAATAGTCAGTATACAGTAGATGTCTTTTGTGCTAGTTTGGCTCCAGATTTCTTCTGGACGTCTCCAGCAATCACATGGATTTGTTCAATTGCATCAGCAGCACACCTGATATAATAACAGTATTGATGAGCTAAACCAAATATTGGAACACACTAACATACATAAATTCACTACTTGTTGTATTAATATTATTTCAATTTATTCAAAGTTTATTAAAAAGCATTTTAATTTAAATTTTCTCAGATGCCTAAAACCTTTTCACAGTACTGTATATGATAGATATTTTTACATTTTCTTCAGAGGCTAGACAGTGTACGTGCTAATATGTAACAAAAAGAGCAGCCTCGAGCACAACCATAAACTTTTTGGCATTACTTTTGCCTCCTAAAGTTAATGCACAGTGAGAAGGAGAAAAATGGCTAGTGATGATGAAATGTATCACTTCCCACACCAGTCAAATGAGTGTGAAGCAGTAAAATTGTCCCAGGTGTGTTAATAAGAACGCAAAGTACAAAGTGTTCTGTTCTTTATCAGGTTTTACCGTGTGATGGAAATTATTGCACAATTTTTGGATCATTTTGTATCACTGCTGTTTCTCAGAGCAATTTTGCAGTCTTGTTCTGTGCATTTTGGCATGGGAGCTTGTACTTTAAAAGCATGTATTGCACCAAAAACTCTATAAACTTTAAAAACTGGATTTTTTTGGAGGGAAAATGTTAGAAGATTCTTTTTAGCCCTTCATGGGCTGAATCAGGTGCATTACTCATCAAAAAGAACACACAAGTGGGGAACACAAGCTCACGTACCTAGCAATATTAGATGTGGGAATGCAGTTCAATACACCTGTGTATGTACAGGATTACTTTAAAGGTGGTTGGGAAAAACAGCTTCAGTGCCTTTCTTTATATAAATTGACCATCTTAGGGCATTGTCTGTTCATTTAGATGGAATAGAACTCATTTTTTTTGTTTAGAGAAGCTTAGATAGAAAATTATTTTCACATATATTAAATTTTGCACAGAATAGAAATATGGCTTCTGGCCAGACATATTGAAAACTTGTTTAAGGCACTGAAAGGGAGCAGATGTTTTTGTAGACCTAACCAATGACTGTACAATGCCTATAATGTCCTGAACTAGAGATGAGGTAGTTTCCCAACAACAGGGGATTATATTATTGCAAATAATTGCAAAGTACAGTACTGCAAAGTATAGTAATGGAACACTCATACATTAAACATAAGTCAAGGGAAAATAAGTGAAAAAAAACAAGAGTTTCCAAAAAGGATACAAAGAAAATGGAACTCCTAACAACTCTGCTTGACCTGGTAGACCACCAAAACTGTGGCCATTAGATAAACAGCACATAAAGCTCTCATCTTTGAGAGAGAGAGGAGAAAAACAAGCTCCACTTTTGCTTCAGATCTGAAAACATCCACAGGTGTTTCAGCCTTCCACTGTAAGAGCACTGTGGGGCTGAAAGCATGTGCAGCTGTTAAGAAGCTCTTACTGAGAAAAGGAAATAGATGAACATTTGCATATCAAACAAAGAAGCTGCTGGTATTCTCAGAACAATGGAATGACCACCCCAGAGTCCAGACCTCGACATCACTGAATGTGTTTGGGATTACATGGATCGTAAAAAAACAGAAAAATGCAACCAACTTCTAAGACTGAACTTTAGAGGTGTGGAAAAAATACCCCTGAAGATTTCTTTGAAAAACTGAAAGCAAGTGTCCTGAAAAGAATGGAAGCTGTAATAAAGGCCGACTTGCTGAATGCTGATAAAAATATATTTAGTTGATAAAAGGCTTTTATGCAGAACTTTGTTTCATTTTTTTTTTACTTTTTCCTGACACAGAAAAAATGAATAACTTATACTTAATGACTGTTTTACTGCAAATTATATAGATGAATAGGGATCTTTGAGTGTGCTGTATATTAGCTTTAGCACAATATTTCCTCACCTAGGGTCCTGTAGACCCCCTGCCCTGCATGTTTTGGCATTTTTCCTACTCAAACATTTAATTAACAAGCCGTTCCTGAATTGAAGTGGGTGTGTTAGAGCAGAGAAAATGCTAATGTGCACAGCAGTTGTACTTTAGGACCAGGATTGAGAACCACTGATTGAGTATGTAGCAATATTGTGTAAAGGGTTACAGGTTAACATATGACTGAACAATAAATCCAGTTTTCTTTCTCTTTTCCCTCCCTCATTCCTCCCACCTAAGGTTCCGCTGCATTGTTTACCCTTTTAAGCCCAAACTTACACTGTTTGTTGCTAAGGCAACCATTGGAATGATATGGCTCTTGGCTCTGGTCATCATGTTCCCCTCAGCCCTTATGTTGACGGTAGAGCAAGAGAGAGGCCACTTCATGGTTCATAACAACAACTACAACCTGACCTACCCGCTTTACTCTTGCTACGAGAGCTGGCCGGAGCCACGGATGCGGAAGGTGTACACCACGGTCCTTTTTTCCCACATATACCTGGTTCCCCTCATTCTCATCATCCCTTATGTACGGCCGCATCGGAGCCAAACTCTACTCCACCACCGTGCTGGTCAACATCGAGCAATCTGATGCTGTGCCTCAAGGAAAATCACCCATATCGCAGAGGAAGATTAAAGTGATCAAGATGTTGATTGTCGTGGCCCTGCTTTTCATGCTATCTTGGCTCCCTCTTTGGACTCTTATGCTGTTGACTGATTATGCACAACTTGAGGGAGAGCAGCTGGACCTCCTGACGGGCTACATTTTTCCCTTCTCCCACTGGCTGGCCTTCGCCAACTCAAGCGTCAACCCCATTATCTACGGGTATTTCAACGAGAACTTCAAGAGAGGATTTCGGGCCGTCTGTCAGCAGACGTCCAGCTGTGGCAGAGGGAGGTTTGGTTTCAGGAAGTCTAAAAGAGGCACTAAGGCTTGTGCACACCTGGATAGAGCTCTTAACTCAAACCCTCTAAGCTTGGGTTTGAGGAACAGAGTCTACACGGACAGTGACTTAACAGGTTGCGTTCGTCTTGAGATGGAGCACCGGAGGGTGTCTATGGAGATGAGAAGCTCGGGTGCTGAAGGGGGAAATGGTGGAATGTTAATCAAAAGAGAGCTTCTGGAAAACATAGAGAGGGTTTCTCCAACAGGAGCTACTGTTTATCAAGCGTGGGAACTTTGAACTGGTATCATACAGCAAGGTACATTTCTAAACACATAGATGTTGATTTCCCAATCCAAGATAAATGGGTATTCTGGCCTAAAACTAGCATTTAGCATGCTATTAGTTATGTAATATTCTGAAGGGTAGCATTGTATCCCTCAGCCTCCTCAGCTTGACAGAATTCAGTTTTGTCTCCTTTGTTGTGTATTCATCCATCAGTGTTCTCTCACTACAGTACCCAGCATGCAGTATGTAACTACATCAGTGGGAATCCCTACAGCTCTCAACAAATCCTGACTGCTAGCCACTAATCCAGATGCTGGTAGATACATCTGTTGGTTGTCAACCTCAATACAACCTCAATTAGTCGTCACACTTTCATTGATAAAGGAAAAATTCAGTTGAAGAATTAGCCAGATAGCAAAATTTCAAACAGCCCTTGTGGTAAAATTTACATCCACATTCAAGCGCATCATTAGAAAAGTGGTTTTCTTAGGCCCAATCATATTTCTTATTGCTACCCCTACCCCTTGTTTTCAAGTGTCACTTTGCCCCTTGGAACTGAGTTAGTGGTTGAAATCTTCCTCTATAAAATGGGACCCTCAAATGAAAAGGAACATTATTTCATTAACAGGCTACTAGTGGTGCTCTGTAGGCGACCCTGCCAGTCTGCAGTGGTAGCAGAGGAGGGTAAAGTTCAGCTCCTCACTGCTGGGCTTTAGTTACATTTAGGAAATCATATTCCTTCAAAGAGGGGGATGCAATTGTTATTTATTATCGCCAACCACTAATTCTTCAGTGATATGAAGCTGAAGTCAGCTATTTGTTAGATTTTTGCTCGAATTTTCCCGATCCACCTTAAATGGTTCAGCAGTTCTGACACCTGAGGTACCAGAATGTAACTGCTGCACTATTTAAGGTGGAACAGGAAATTTAGCTAACTAGCTACCGAGACAACAGCATAGCGATTTTTTATACCTGTTATGAAGAAAAGGACCATAATACGTTGAAACGACATTAAACTAAGATAATACATTTCTCACATTTGTGGGTTTCCTTGGTTCTTGCGCAGCCATCTTGCTGTTAGGAGTGTGCCTCTGAAAAACCTCCGTTTGGAGGGCCATGTAGCCCCAACACTTCGCTCTACCCCCCTATCTCAACAAAAATCGTGACACACTACCTCTAGGCTTGAACACACAAAACGGAGGGCTAAGGGCTAAGTGGTAGGGGCAAGGGGTGAAATGGGATTGGGCCTTAGTCTTTAAACCGGAAAATCTCACTCTAGAGAATACTGCAGCACTGCTGGAGGAGGCGAGGAGGCGAGTAGGCATGTTTACAACAGATGTAGCGATGGTTAAATTTTTAATTTTGGTTGGAATGTTCATTTAACCCTTGAAGGTTTTGAAGAGAGAAAAAACCTCCTTTACATCCTTGCTTTTGTCATTCCTCGACATTAAAACAAAAAAAAGTTGGTATAGAATGTAAATCGAATGTAAATGTAATTTCATTGTGTAACTTTCTGTGTATTTAACATGCAATTATGCAATTGGATTGAAATAGTGATAGTAACAACTTTCGACTTCTAAGGTTTAAGCCTAAGCCTAGACTAAAAAGCATTTTCATTGGTAAATCACCACAGACATCGCAGTTTAAGTCCAAGAGTAGACGTAGTCCATGTCCAGGAAACCTCATAAGGTTTGAAGTTTACAAACATCATAAGGTGAACATCATGAGGGTGATCTCTGCAGCTAAATCATTAAAATGTATGTGATATCCACAGATACTGTGCTGCTACAAGCAATACTCTGAATGCCAATGAGAGGAAAAGATTGCAAGTTAAAGTGAGATGTAATGGTACCCACCAGGCAAAAACAAGCAGAAAATAGCCTGAATTTTCTGGGTGACCTTTACATGAAAGTCTCATATCGTCAAAGTAGATAACAAACCAGTCCTAAATTATTATTGCTTGGCCTCTGGAGAAGCAGGTAATTTGTCAAGTAATTTGTGAATAAAGTAGCACAAAATGAACTGGAAATAAATTGAATATTAGCAACATGAGTTTGAAATGGCAGTTTTACAGGACTGAAGAAAAGTTTGCATAGCTGCAGTGCTATAAATGTTCTGTGAACTTTGTTTAAAAGAATGTGCACAATGAATGTCCAGACTTTTGTAACACGAGGACAGAATGAGCGTATTTACCTTGCTAAGACATCCATTTGTTTCAGGCTTACTTTCTCCAGACTCATTACTCATGGGCTGTCATTCCATAAACTTCTGCCAGCTTTCATTTTCCAACCTAGTAACTTTTCCAGCTTTGCTGTGGCTCGCCTGTCAAACCTGCAACAAAGAACCAGCACCAAAGGAACAAGTGTTGCTTTCTTAGGTATAACACAGTGCAAAGTCACAGTTTTTTTGTATGGAAGCTTATGAGCACGAACGGCATGAGCGGACTGTCAAATCAGCATGACCAAATTGTTTATCTCGGAGGTTCAGACATGTACTGCTTGTCTTTGGCACCAAGCAAGCACTGATTACTTGTAGCAGCAGAGTTATCTTCCAGTATTGACTGTGCCATCAACTCTTGAGCTGCATGAGATGTTTCCGTTCTTGGGGTAAGTTGGCAAAAGTTTGACAGAGCCAGTAGCTTGGCTGGGGTGTGTGTTGAGCGAAGTTACTTTTCATTGCTGTTGCATCAGCTTCAGGATGGACATCTGAGATAAAGTGCTCAGGGGGCTCTGTTTCCTCACATGGTTATGGTGTTGTGTCATTTTGTGCTTTGTACATTTGCACATTTTATCTTGACCCCTGTGTAGCACAATGGAACAAAACCTATTTTTATACCTCATTATGTCTTTGTCCCTGGATTGTCCTCCAACGCAGGCTGTCTGGAACCGTTATAGACTGGCTGACGTTGAAGATAGGTGTTAAAATATCCCCATAGAGGTGAGGAAAGTATTAATTAAATAAGTCTTAATATAGGACCTAATATTGCAGTCTAAGTTGTTGCTCTTGAGCCATGACGGATATGAAGACCTTGTTAGTCCAGTCACACATTGCTAGTGACTATGCAAGAAAAGTTCTGACTGAGGTCATTTTCACTCTGCTAACAACATCTAGGTCTTTGTTAGACTTGCAATATCCTGAAATAGTTGCATGTGCGAAGTGCATGGCAACATATTACATGTATAAAGATGTGTGATATGTGATGTGTCTCTGATTTTGTGGTTGGTCAATTTGGATTATATTCATGTGATGTAGCACCCAGTGTTTATGATACTGGAACTAACAAGCCAGATATGTGTTATACGGATGGGCGATAGACAATATTTTATTGTATCATTATCAATTACATTACTATATGCCACAGTATGCTTTTGTGAGCATACTGTGTATATCACAAGTATTGAATGAACAATAACCAGCAACAGCAATGTTCAAAAGTCAGAGAGCACCCTTTCGTTTATTTCATTTCCAGTCAAACTGGCCATTAAGTACAATTTATTCTTTTTTCAGTGTCAGAAAAGCTCACACATTACACAGGAAAATTACCCAGAAGCCTCAACAACTACAGTTTCCCCTTCCTTATGCAAGTGGATTATCTTATATTTAATCTCTTAGATCTCTGTGCTTCGTGTTGGAAGCTTTTGAGTTATTTTACATTAAATAGACGTTTCCTACCTACAGTGAATAACTTGTACTTAATGGCCATTTTGCCTGGAAGCTGAAAGGGTAATGAAAGGGTAGTTGCTAAGTTTGGCACTGCACTGGACATGCCTCGTTAAAAAGAATTGGTCCTGTTTAACAGGATTCAGTGCAGTACAGTGTGTGAAATTTAAAAAAAAAAAACATTGTACATTTTTTATTGTGTTTCTTAAATGTAGCACTGCTGGGAGATATTATGTATCATGAAAACGTCTTTGTGTATCATGATATTGTATTTTTGCCATATCGCCCACCCCTGATGTGTTATCATAAAAGATCACCTAATGTAGATACTACAATTGAGGAAGTAAAGATAAGAAGAACATGATCCTGTAACCATGGAGACTAAATGTTCACAAATGTAATTTCGAATTAGTTATTTTTAGCATTTGAATTATTGGTGATATTTATATGTGTGAATTGCCTTGAAGCTTTATGTGATATTTGACATTAAAAAGGCAGTCATGTGGTAAATTCAAGTTTTTTTTCATCTTTCTGAAATGATCACGTCATGCTAGCAAATGTATAAATGTATATTATGTAAACATACATAATGTTCACCTGTCAAGATTATTGAATAAATATTTATTTGTTGTCTTATGGTCATGTTTTTCAGATCTGTGTAAATTGATGCCAAGTAAGGTTACATCTAAGTGGAGCTAATCTGCTTCTGTTATTATGACTGAATAGGTAATTGTCACACATTTATATAAGTCATTGCCCTGTAGGAAGGGCTGAGTGACAGCCGGTTGCCATTTACCTTGAGCCTCCTCTGTGCAAATGATCATGAGAACTGCTCCCTCTCCAGCCCAGTGCTCAGTGAGGAAGCACTGTTGCCACAGTGGTCTAACTAGAACACACACATGGTCTCAGTAGGGGAAGAAGGTTCATTTCCTCTGTTCCACTTTAAATAGTAGCATTTGGCAGCAGCAGTCAGGAAAACACAAAAGCCTGACCTTTATTAAGAAACAAGCACCTCTGCTTTTCAGTTCAGTATGCAGAAAAACACTGTTAAGTGTTTTTTAAAACCCAGATGCTGAGATGTTCATTATAATCGATTTAAGAAGATTGTTTTGTCAGTAGACAATAGTGATCTATGCATTTATAGTAAGTTGTGCAAGAAATGTTATTTTTAATGTAAGATTATGGAGTGTTGTGGAGAAAAGTCCCCGCAGACAAAGAGCAAAAAGCTCAAACTGCCAAAGATGTTATTTAGTTATCCTAGATTTTCACTAGCATTAGCATAGCTAGCTAGACGATCACTAGCATTGCAAAAGAGTCTGACTGTAATTATTAGGCTGTGTTTGAAATAGCCC